TTCCATGACATGTCTGAAAATATAGCCAAAAGAGTGGTATACATTTTAATGTCATGGGCATAAGAAAAGACCACAGGCTGGCTAGATGTAACGACACTGCAGATGACCTGAGAAACACGAATCTTGGAACCGGGGGACCAAGGAAACGGGATCGACCCACAAGACATCCACCAAAGCATAACCAGTGGCAAGAAGATAGTGCGGAGAGTTGCCACCAGACACAACACAAGATGCACCCCTGGTCGAACCAACCAAGTATCAACAATCAAAGAACCCCTCCACAAACCAATCTATACATTCTTTGCCAGAAAAGGAGTAGCCGGCTGTAAATGAAAATAGCGTCAAACAGGGTCAAAAGAACAAAAACACCAGTTTAAGAAAAGAATCCAAGTCATTTCAACCATGCTGGAAGTCACCCACTCTGAGATGAGTGGACACAGGTGAGGACAGGAAGCTTACATGGAAAGACCCAAACCCCTGGAAGGAGTAGGAACCAACGAACTTCTTGAAAAGCTGTGGGAAATGCCCTGAAAATAACCAACCAGATGGAGAAGGGCCAGATAGGAAAGCACCCACGACCCGGCATCTGGCTCCACAGATGACCTACCTCAACCCACAGAGGGCAATGCCCTAGCTCCACCCGACCACTTCCCAGACAGAGACTGAAAACCCAGAGAGCAATGGATATCCAATATAGGGCGACAGGTTGTAGCCACTGAGGAAATAAAACTGTGCCATGACATCATCAGAAAAGAGCTGAGGAGAAAAGGGGATGTAGAGAGGACAGCCAGGGCCCATGTCAAATCCAAGGACAGAGAATGGGCAAACCATGTCCAAAGGGAAAGGAAGTGGAGGTGAGGACAGAGCCAAGGTGGAGTGCACCAACACCTTTAATTCCTGGACTCTAACACCTAAACGTAGCAGCTCTTGGGCATCCAACAAAGCACCAAATTCAAACAGCCATAAATGAAGCAAGTGAACTTGTAAAGAAATTCTGCCTGACATGTCCTAAGGGCATGAGAAGAATAGGAGAGCCACATGGGGAAGGCAAACCCCACAGGACTCAGGATCAAAGGTGTCACTGACCCACCAGGCAGCAAGTAGAGGCGGGACAAGTGATTGCCAACCCATGACACAGACATTGAGCAACCCTTCAACTTGCACAAAACAGCAGAAGGTGGGAGGGGGGGGGGATATCCATAGGACCACCAAACCCACTGGAGATTTCCAGGTATTGAAGAGTAAACCAAGCAGGGCACCAGGCACCTCAGATGCTATGCCAGACATAAATGTAAGGCAACATCCAGCTGATTCACAGAGCTGTGAAAGCTGATCTCAGCGTGCTGTAAATGTTGAGCTCGTGAACCACCAGTGTGCCCCACCAGCAAACGTCACACCTTACCAGCGTAAAGGCAGGGAAGCCACAAGACACCTGACTCACCTTGGGCAGGGGCCACCACAAGTGAGGAGGACCTCTAAGGAAGCGACCCCCTGAGCATTCCAAAAAAAAATAATGCTTGCAATGCAATAGGATCTCTAGGAAGCACCCAGGGAAGGGAACCCTGACAACATGTAGCTCCAAGCACTCTCTAAGGTTGGCTCACACTACACTGCAAAATACAGGAAATGCCACCAAGGGCAAACATCACACCACTTGGCTGAACAGACAGAAAACCAGAGCCAGCACAGACGAGAGGCGATCTGGTATGAACTACATCAGCGACAAAACTGGGAGCTCAGACTCCAACAAGTGGTGAGCTACCTCCTCCCTCTCCTCAAACAAGTGGGGAAAGTGGGGCAAATGAGCTCATGCTAGTCTGAGATAATTGGATCATTCATTTACATAAAGGAGTTCTTTAGGTGGGTTTTGAGACTTCAGTCTCTGTTGAATCCAGCAGTAGTTTGTTTTGACTAGCTGATTTTCTGGTTGCCTTCCTCAGTGAGGTGGCAAAAATAAAGGGAGATGGTTATCCAACTATCATCTCCCCGTGCCTCTGTAAGGGGAAGCGACAAGGGGCTTCCCCCCAGAAAACAATTACAATATCACACTCCTTTTGTATATACAGTAACAACAAAGAATGCCATTTTTGTAAAGTTGCACGACATGAAAATTCTGTCTCTCTCGTGTGTATTTATGTTTGTACGTGTATATATATGTCGTACCTAATAGCCAGTTACCTAACATACTGAATTTCAACCCAGGTTCAATTCCTACATTGGAGAGAGGCATTTAGGCATATTTCCTTTAATCTGTTGTCTTTATTCACATAGAAGTAAACAGGTACAGTACTTGGGAGTTAAGCGGCTGTTGTGGGCTGCATCCTGGAAAAGGTCAGTCATTACCCTAGGAGAATCTCAATAATTCAAGCAGGTCCCTGACAATGGAAAACAGGAAATCACACACACACACACACACACAGACAAGTTAAAGAAAAGTAAGGAAATACTTGTACCCTGTATGAGTGGTCAACAAGTAAAATGCACTACAAGAAGAAATGGTGGAAGCCATCTCCTTCCACAACTTTAATGCCACATTTAACAAAGAATTTGAATGTTAGAATAGTTAAATTATAATACAATAGGTACAGCAAGGCTAGTAGACAGGAAACAAAGAGCCAGATCTCAAGAAATACAACAGAAATCTCAGCACTATACATACAAGTACACAGAACAAATTTCAATGTTATAAACATGTACATGCACAGTATTCCTGTGTACTATATAGCAACATTACAGGTCTTACTTTATTGACATACAGTGAGTAAATATTTCATCATTTCCTACATACTGTATACACTGGTTCATTCTCAGTAAAAGACCATTAGATATACAGTATTTTAAGCACATATGTCTAGTAAAATGCATACCAAAACAAGTTATATTATTTGAACTAGTATTGTCCAGTCAAGCCTTAATGAGGTGCATGGACCTCTGAGACCCACCTTTGCCTACTGGGAGACAAGATCCAGAATCTGGCTGTCTCTACAAGATAAGGGAAGCCTGGGAATTAGAGATTAACCTGAATCCAGGAAAAATAAACATACCAGAAAGCAAAGGCACAACAAAACAAACAACCTCAAGAAAACTTGGATATCTTTGGGTAACGAAGCAAGCAATTGCTGCCGTGACAAAACACCCTTACTGAGAGGTGTCTGACCACAACCAAGTGGCAGCCTAGGTCACCAGGGGGTCCTAGTCTGCCTACCCCGTCACTCTTGAGCTGCCCAAACCAACCTCTTCCACCACATGGGATAGAAGGAAATGAGAAGGATGAGAGTTACTGAGGGCTCCAACAAAAAAGGGCCTATAAATACATTCGGTGCTCTCAAAGGTGCCTCAAAAGAGGAAGCATGAATTCCTGAAAAAGAACAAATCATTAAACAGAAAAATATGGCTGGGTCTTACCTGTGGGAGGAGACAGAATAAGAGTATGAGGGGGCATGGGGGGGAGGGGGCGCACCTCTAACGCATCAAAAACAAGTGTAGAGGCAGAGGAACACCCTAGGTAGAGCCAAAGGAGGACCACCCACAACAAGCCCTGAGCCCAAACAACAACTAAGCAAAACAGAAAAAAAATGGAGTGAAGACAGACCAATGGCTTGCCCCAAACCCAAGAGGGTCATCAGAAAACTAATGGGTCCATAGCCCATAGAACCCCAAAGGAATTCCAGGTCACTTGTGAATCTACAAGCAAAGCCATACCTTTGCTACAACCAGGCCACCATGATACCCACTAACATCTAGAAAGCCAATGTTATTCAACGAAGTCCTAGCCACACAAACACACATCACTTTACAACACTTCCAACTACCCACATTCACCACACTTCCTTCCATACTCATATATCCTCCCCAAGCACTCTCACTACATACATACTCTTACTCTCTCCCAAACTCTCACCCATTCATTTATTCACACACACTTAAGAGAGAGCCAAGTCCATAGTTCCCTTTGTCAAGGATGACATGTGAGCACACCGCATGTGCTCATTGTACACTGATAATTGTGCACTCGACTGAAATTTTAGGTCCTTAAATTAAAACCACTGTATTCCAATAACACATCGATAAAATTTATTTATATAAGGGCCCACTGATAATTCTTTTATTTTCTGGACTTTCCTCCTTTGTACAGTACCTCAAAGAGCTTACTGCATCAGCAAAGGCATTATCCTCACTTTAATAAGGCTTAATTGAAATCCTCAGATTAGGCAAAATTGTAATTAATTTTGTCAATAAAGATGTTAATAATAATAATAATAATAAGCAAAGGCAGGGCCACCCCAAAATATGAGGCTTTTAAGATTTTCTCAGTCCACCAGGACCAAAGACCAATATCTTGCCTGCTATTAGGTACGGCAATACATAAGTTTGTAAGTGCCATATGCCAGCCCATCCTCCTGTTTTGGTAGTACTTATAGTAATGATGAGGACCATAGTATATATACCAATGTGCAACGAAATTAGAAAGTAGAAATCTGAACTATTGGGTTGGACAAACCGGAAAACTATTTTTTACTTGTGTTGCTTTGACAAACTAAACTAACCTAACCTTCATAGGCCTAATACACAATATCCAAGGCCTAATATAGTACATGTGTGTGCTATACTAGGCATAGGAATATTTAAGTTTTTTTTTAGCTTCATTTATTTTAAAAAATTTCTTACATCTCAGTATACTACTATCTAAAAGCTAAGTACGTACGTACGAAGTGGTGACTATTGACAACCGTCAAAATAGGTTCTATCTAAACAGGAGGAAGGGTTACATATGCATATACTGTACATATAATACAGTACATTAGTATATATACTTATTTATCAAGATGTTAAATGATACATTTAACAAATTCAACAATATGATGTCGGGAAAACATACAAGCAATACTTACAGTACGATGATTATGCCTCTCTTATTCTCAACTAAACTTTAGGGGTAAATCAATATAAATTTGGTAATTCATGTGCACATAATCACTGAGGAATATAATATTACTTGCTTGTACTCTCTTTTTATTAACAGAATAACAGCGTCTTAAGACTTAATTTCTAATGAGGATAAATGTGCATAATGATGAATACCAATAAAATGATTTCTCCAGGAACAAATTTACATAGTCATCTGATGACCATTATATAACAAAATTTATTGCATTAAATGCATATATTTATGAGTAAACAGTCGTGTCAAAATTCAGGGTAAAGTTGCAAGAAAGAACTTCAAAATCAAAAACTAAAACTTGAGATTTGTGGGTGCTAAAATGAGATTTGAAAAACCCTTAATTTTTTATACAGTATATAAAAAGATAACCTTACAGCGATTTACGGCTATTTTTCTTGCGCTTCTTCATCTTGGGAGGAACTGGTTCAATATCAGTAGATATAACTTGTGGAGGTTCACTTATGATCCAATCCAGTGTTGGCTGAGAAGCAGCAGGTTTGATGGGTTGTGATGTTATGGTTCCTGGTAAATCTGTCACACTACGAGCTGCTACTTTCTTTTTCACTTTTTTAGGTAGAAGTTTGAGACGCTCTCCAGCAGCTCCGGCTACTGCCGGCAAGCGATCCATACTCTTTGACAGTGATTTCAACGTATGTTTGCTAGAACGTTTACTTGGAGATGACAAAACCTTTGTAACTTTCTTAGAGGAAGTAACAACTACAGGTGACTTGGGTTGAGCATAGATGTCACAAGAGGCTGCAGTAGTTATGATTCCAAGTCCAGGAGAACTGTGGCTAGCTTGTGGTTCACAGACAGATGAGAGTGGAGAGCGGGGAGACAGGGGACTCTGGCCTGCAGCATAAAACCCTTCTTGAGAAGGTGACAAAGGGCTACATTTGCGTTCGTTTACTTCCAAACCTGGAAGACTGTAATAAGGTTCTTTGTTTTTAAGTGATGATTCCTCTGTATTTGAACTTGAGCTAGGACATATTTTCAACTTTTTTGTACCAGAAGTTAAACCTTTGCTTCTTTGTCTTCTAATTTTCTCAACTTTCTTTACTAATGTGGGGCTTTCAGGTGTATCTGATATTGAAAGCTTTACATTTAAATTTGGGGTAAGGCTTACGGATGCTGTAAGGCTGTGCTTGCTTGATGTCATCTTACTACTAGCAAGTTTTGCTTCTCCACCTAAGTGACTACTTTCACCCAGTTCTGTGAAAGTCAGAGATCTAGATACTCCTGGTTTCTTGGGAGATTGCGTCTTTATTTTCGGCATCTTTGGCTTAGTTCGTGGCGAGAGGCCACTGGATGCAATTGATTTTTTTGCACTGGTAGGTCTGGGTCGTACTGCTCCTTCTGGATTTACCTGGGGTTCTTGGTTTTCAGCATCTACAGTAAGGCACCATGAATGGCGGCGTACACGCTGACTACGGCTGCGTGGAAGTCTGGGAGAGGCAGGTGTACTTGGTGGGCCTTGTCTGTTAGGTCCTAATCTTGGCCCACCAGCACTACTCCTAGTACCACTTAGTCTCTCCACTGTCAATTTATTTGATGAACGTGATGCAGGAGTGCGTGGAGTATGGGTTCCTGTGATATGTGTGCGCGGAGAAAGGGCTGAAGAGCTAAGGAAATGGTGCAGCCATGTTCGTACACCTGCCAAATTTCCATATTGTGACTGTGGTAATCGAGACCATCCACAGCAACTGCCTACCACATCCAGCAGACTAACGCCAAGCTGACGACCACACTGAAATTAAACAGTTTGTTTAATAAATCTGGTCATGAACCATGCCATGAGAGTATTGGAGACCCTAGAATGTTAACAAGCTAGACATTAGGTAAAATGTTGTACATTCCATTGTTCACAACGAAATCCCAATGGCGTGATATATCGGTGAAAATAATTTTGAGGCAATGGAGTGACTTGAACATGCTATCTGGTGATATCCAGATGCCTGCCTTAACCGCCTCTGCCACGGTGGTACAAAAGTTCTGGAGGCCCCAAACCAAGGTCTAAACAATTTTTTACAGCCAACCTAATCTACACTCGGGCTTACAGAAATGGCGTTCAAACTCTTATACCCCAGTTGAATCGCAATTAAATAATAATGGCTTGATATATAAGGGAAGGGAACTATCAGGGGGAAAGTGCCAAGCCATTACGACTATATAGCAATTGGAAGGGGTCAGGATAAGGATTTGGGATGGGACGGGGAGAAGGAATGGTGCCCAACTACTTGGACAGTCGGGGATTGAACGTCCTACTGAACGTTTAACTGGGAGTGAATCGACTCTACCACGGTGGTACAAAAGTTAACCAACCCAGAACTACTGAGTTCTCTGGGAGGTTCTCAAGCCTCCAACCAGGGTTTTACAGTCAACCCGACCACACTCGGGCCTACGGAATGACATTAATACTCTTAGTGTGGTCGAGTTGGTTGTAAAACCCTGGTTGGGCCTTGGTTTGGGGGCCTCGAGAACCTCCCAGAGAACTCAGTAGTTCTGGGTTGGTTAACTTTTGTACCACCATGGCTGAGTCGATTAAGGCAGGCGTCTGGGAATCACCAGACTACGAGTTCAAGTCACTCCATTACCCGAAAAGCATTTTCATTGATATAGCATGTCATTGTGATTTCACTACGATCTGACTAGGATGTAAGAATGTGAGTGTCATTACCGTAGGCCTGAGTGTGGTCAGGCTGGCTGTAAAACCCTGGATGGGTCCCAGTTTGGAGCCTCCAGAACCTACCAGAGAACATGGTAGGTTCTGGAGGGTTGATCGTCATGGGTTGATCAATTTCTGTATCACTATGGCCAAGTTGGTAAATACTGCCACTTACATTACCTGCCTTCAGCAGTAATATAGCTCAAGTTTTCAACACCCTAAAAACCTTTAGTCATAATTTCAAAATTTTGATGAGGATCCACTGAGAAATCCTTTAGAGTGCCCTTATTGCATTGAAGTTGACCTTCACGGCCAATGTAAATTGGGACGAGGTGAGCCTGTCGATAAGGACCACCCACACAGAGAAGACTATTACTCAGCCAAGTGCAACCCGCACCTGTATGCTTACTCTCGTATTCACTAAACTCAGGTTGGCATTGGTTAAAACCAAGTCATTACAAAATGGTGACATTGCATGCAATTACAATCAGAAAAGCAAAATTCCACAACATGTGTTCAACTAATGCCTGGTAGTACTAGAGTTGAACTTGGGGAACTATTGAGGGGTTCCTTTAAGAAATAAAGAATCAAACAGTGAAAGAATAATATTCAATATATAGGCAATACAGACGAAGAAAAAATTTATGTATACAACCTATTGAACCTACAGTTAGTGCAGGAAAAATATTTTACATCAGTGAGAAAGGACATTCTTTTTTTCCTCCTCTTCAAAAATGTTTCCATGGGCAACTAAAGTAAACAGGCCTAAAACCAACTTCAAAATTCATGTGATTTTTAATAATTTTTCAGTACTTTTGTCACTTCTGAACGAAATTAGCCTCATTCACATTTACACATACTCACATCTTCAAATACGGATGGGGTGTATTTGGGAGGGGTTGTCATAGGACTTTGTGGAGTTTTCCTATGGTCAAGAGGGGATGGCGGGGTAGGATTATAAGTGCGACCGGTGTTGTAATTGCATTCCAGGGTGTAAGAACGCAAAAGTCCGGTGGCCCTCATAATCGCTACTCTTCCCGAACCCTCTTTACTCATGCCATCACGACGATCCCTGCCAAAGATGAAAATAAATACGTAAACTTATGAACATGATCTTGCAACCTTCATTCATCAGAGCACCAGGTGCGCTTAAACCATACATATGCAGACACTACACACACACTACTCTAGCCACTACACCACAAGCTCCAATAAAATCAAGGTAAATTAGTGGTTACATTACCCAAAAACTTTATACCATGCCAAAGAGCCAACAAAGTGACTATTGTCTAAAAATCTCTCCACACCCTCAACATATAAAGAGAAGTTTCCAATAACATGTAATTAACATTCATTCATCAGAGCACTAGGTGGGGTTCAACCATACATATGCAGGAGTGCTACACCAACTTGTCCTCTCGAATAATGCACTGTATTTTAACATAAAAAATTCCCAATATCAAAATATTTTGTAATATAAATCATAGCAACTCGCAAAATTGATGGGTTGTTACATTTCCCATTAATGTATCTATTGATTAGGTTAGGTTTGGGCAATTTAATACAGTATGGGGCACCTGACAGCTGAGTGGACAGCGCTTCGACTTTGTAGTCCTGAGGTTCCGGGTTCGAACCCCGGTGGAGGCGGAAACAAATGGCCAGTTTTTTTCACCCTGATGCCCCTGTTACCTAGCAGTAAATGGGTACCTGGTAGTTAGACAGCTGCTACGGGCAGGCTGCTTCCTAGGGGTGTGTAACAAAAGGAGGCCTGGTCGAGGACCGGGCTGTGGGGATGCTAAGCCCCGAAATAATCTCAAGATAACCTCAAGAAGATATATAATTTTTGTGATGGTGTGGCAACTCGAGAGGATAGGTTGAGTACACACACACTGCTGAAGCCATTAGACCATGAGAATTAATTTGGATAAGAGTTTGGCCACTGTACTGTATACAGTAAAAGAAATCAAAAAATTATTTAAATAAATATACTGTATATATACTTACATAAAGTTTGTGAGGGTACCACCTCTGGTGCCAATGTGGGGACCCATAGCCTCGGAGAAGAAAATAAAAAGTATTCAGAGGAGACCTTGTGGCTTCTCACTGAACACTAATATTATCTTCTCCTACCACCCCCATTCTTTTGTATGTACACATATATATTTACTTTATTTGAACTTTGTTACAAAAAAGGAGTTACATATGGGTTACAAAGATGGTTATCATAGGTTGTTGAGTTCCTCCAGTTCCTCAGATGGCAGGCAGGAACCCTGGTACTTACATAATATATATAATATAATAAATATTATATAATAAATATACTCACTTGAGATACATATTCCTCTCTGTGAAGTTGCACGCAGTAAAATCGAAGTTAGGGCAATTGATGGCTAGGACTTTAGGGAAAAGCATATTTTCCACCATCACAGCTGGATCCTCATACCAGTTCCCATATATAAAAATGCCTGAAATAAAGTAAATAAGTTACTCAAGCCAGCTAAATATTAATCTTTATCTATGATAAAGATTATCATAGATAAAGATATGTATGAGGACCACACACATCATACATACTATACATACCCCCCCCACCATCCTGAGCCACTCAGGGTACATACGAGGTGAACCCCGCACTTTTCGGCCCAAGATAAGACAACACTGACAAGGAAGAGAAGGGCTAACTAGGAGATACTGAGGACAACTAAAATGTAATGGATGGGACCAGCTGGAACCTGGGAGAGTGCAGAATCTACAGCACATTATTCACTAGCCATGATGGTTCAGATAGAATAAGCCAGCAGAAATTAAAGAATCCTCTGGCTAGATCCCACAAAATGTGCAGACTAAAGATCTAAATGAAAGGTTAGCATGATAGGTTCCGCCAATACCAAACAATATGAAGTGACAGTATTAGGCATCCAGTCGACACTCAAACAAGTAATAAACAATATGATCACTGCCACAAACAAAGAAACCTGCTACAGAGCCAAATACTGACAGAATAACTACTAACATCAAGCTACTTCATAACCTCAAAGACTGCCACAAATAAGATGCTTAAGATGTTTGCCACCTGCCTCTCAATACAGATAGCAATACAGCAAATTAAAAACTCAACACACAAAGATTGACAAAAAAAGTTACAACCTATCCAGAGCTGCAAGCTGCTGATTTTCTGGGAGAGGATCAGTGCATTCAAAAAGAGCATTGATTGTAAGTGAAGAACCTGACACCAGAGATAAATTGGCCACATTGGAGTCAAGAGAATAATGCAGCAAGAGAAGTACTGGTGCCTCACAAGAAGAAAAACTTCCCACCCACAGGAGAGAGAAATACATGACAACCCCCCCCCCCCTGAAAAGGATTAACAGATTCCTTCACCCCTATGAAAGTAAACGGAGGTGCAGAACCACTAGCATCACACCTGCATGAGAGACAATTGAAGCTACTTAGGTCATGCAACTAGAGGAAGAGGACAGAAGACTGGTCACTTGGCCAGTGGTGCAGTGCTGCCAGAGCTCGTTGGAGCATGCAAAGTGGATGCTGCCTGTACCCGAATATCAATGTTATCAGAATGGGTAAACTGGAGAATATGCTAAGAACATGACTCGCAAGACTCGGGGTCAATGGGTCATTGGTCCAACAGGCAGCATGATGGAGGCAAAAGCGTCAACAGTCACCCATAGACAAGGGCACACAGCAACCTACAAACTCACACGAGGCGAGCTGGAACTTGGAAGACGCATCCATAGGTCTATGGCAGTTGAGATGAAAAATCCCCAACCACAGGGGTGGTTTTCAGGGCCATTGCTCCCTGTGCCTCTCTGAGAGGGGCCAGGTTTTGGCTCAAGGTCCCCGGTAGGCTGAACTCCTTTGACTAATGCCCTGGTCTAATGAATTGTATATTAGCCCGATAGCTCCAGAGAGCCAAAGAGGCTCCCCACAGAAAACAAAATTTACAAATTAAATAGCTGACAGGTGGAACAAACTTCAGGACAGAGTTGTGTGTGCCAAAACCACTAAAAATTGTAAAGTTATTTATGATAAAATATAGAGAAGACAGGCTGTCATGAACATAACTCTTTCCCTGTAACTACAATTATGTAATTTCAATTAGGCAGCAAAACACCATATATTTCATCATACTGAATTCATTCCAAGCATTATGTACATTAAGTTTTTATTATGCAAATTATACACAAGATACATAGTTGTACCACTTCCATGACCCAAAGCTAGATATTTATTGTTCTTACCTTTCTTTGATGCATGACCATGAAGATCAACATACAGGTAGAGTCCTGAAGTGACTTGAGTCTCCTCAGGAATTGGTGTTGGTGGACTTAGGGCTGGAGAAAATTCTTGTGCCGGAAGAGGAAGCGATCCCTCCAAGATTCCCAAACAAACATCAGATTCTCTTCCAGGGCGCCCACACTCTGCCTCACTTTCACTGCTGCTAGCAATACCACAGCCCTCCCTAATTCCTAGTGTGCTCTGTGCCCCGCTAGGGGTTGGAGGCGATCCCGACTTTAAGGAAGTTTTGTGGTGTACAGCAGAGGTGGTACTCAGATCTCTTCTGTAATTTAGTGAATCCTTTTTTGCACTTGTGCTATGAGAGAAATTGCAATCAAGATTTCTTGTCATATTTTCAATTTTTAATTGGGGCTGACTAGACACTGGCAAAGAAGCTGATGATAAAGATATAGTGTTTGCATTTGATGCAACAGTACTTAGGTTTGGCATTTGCCTACTGTCTCTTATACTACTAAAAATATTAAGATCTTTCTCCTTTGCTTTTTCGTCCGATATTCTTTGTTCATAAAAATAGTTACTACATCCTGTGTCACTTTCCTCCTTATGAAAATCCTTTAAAAATAAATCCCTAGATTTGCAAGTTGTGCTATGTCCCATCTCATTCTTTGTTTGTATGCTACATGGAGAAGTCACTGCCTTACTGATATGCTCACAACTTTTATTCACAGAAATGATTTCTCTAAATTCACTTAATGCAGCCATAGAGCCAAACATGGAGGTAACACCTGTTTCAGCTTCACTAATACATGACACATTGGAGCAGTCATCATGCACTTCTGGATGTTGTTCCTGTTGAAAAGAGTTGCCAGCCATGCTACCATCTACTGAAACATTGCTGGATATGTCCCACCCTGAAGCTGAGGGTTCATCCATCTCCATGAGAGAGACTCCACGCACCCTTCCACTGCCTGAGCCTCCAGCTTTACCACACTGAGCATCACTAAAACTGTGACAAGTGTCTTCATCCATCACTACTGGTGGTCCTTTAAAAGTGTTGGTGATAGATAAGCTTGCATCATCACTGGAGCTATTTGTTACAGTTCCAGCAGCATGATCTGATGAATCAGTGTTTATGGAGATTGAGGGTGTCTCTTCCACTGGAGTGGGTGTCAATTGTCCATGATGATGGTAGAGAATCACCTGTCTGGCTGCATATATCGTTGGATGAAGAGTAGGTGAAGGGTCAACATACACACGATTGAGGTTTACTCCTCTCTGGTCAGTGCGGTAATGGCCACGGACCACACCATCAGGATTCAAAAATGGAATCAGCTTAAAAACAAACAAGTCTCTTAATTTCACAGCACGAGGGTCATTTGAGACAATAAAATTTAGGAAACCATTTAAGACAAAACTGGAAGAAGTTTCCCCAGGATGAACTCTGGCAGACACAAACACCACTTTCTTCTTTGGAAAGCGATGAGGTCGAGGCTGATCGACGAGAGGAAAAAGGCCAGGAAGTCTGTCTTCTCGTTCCTCCACTCTACCCACATGAGAACTAACGGTCACTAGGTCGACGCGCCAATGATCTAGCGAGTACACCAACAGTTCTCTATGATAATACATGTTTGGGCATCCAGGAGGAAATCGGCGGTCCAAACTCTCCAGCATAGACTGTAGCTCAGTATACGTGAAGGGGTAAGTGAATGCATAGTAAGTTACTGCACTAGCCTCACCTACTGAATGAACCCAAGATATCACAGTGCTGCTCTCTTCACTCTGAAATATAAAAGAATTGAATAAATAACAAAATATAATTATACTCAAAGCAACCAGCAATAAAATTTTGATGAATTTATTTGATCTGGTGTGTGGTTTAGTCTTCATATATACAGCATATAAATAAGTATGTAATGCCAAGTGGAACATTTGGTGGGAGGACATCTTAGGATATTCATTAATATCATACTCGATAGGTGCATTTGTCTTTGATGCGCTCCCAGCGTGGAGGACGTGTACTGGAAATGCACTGCACCACTGGCTGCATTCCTTGGGAGAACAACTTTGATTGCTTATTCAGATTCATTACATTCAGTCGCACTCGGTTACCCACACTGCCACCTGGGAAAGATAAAACTGGTCATAGATAGCGTGAAAAAAATCTTTCACATAACAAAACTTAGCTTACCCTTATTTATTGTTTAAAGAAATTTAAGTAACCAGAATCATGGCAACTCTAACTATCCTATAGTTACTGAACTAACCAAGGCCTAACTGGCTGTCAAGGCAAAAATAAAGAGTTTAACATAATAAAATGTCCTTTTCACATATCCCAAAATCCAGATAAAGCCAACAAAAATGTGAAGAAAAAAATTACTGCCTGAAGAAATACATTCTGATACAAGCAGGAAAATAATCATTGCCTTGGTTCAAACAACTCTAATTGCGATGTGCCCACCAGAAAAGAGCACTTCATTACATTTAACACTTAATTTATATCAATTTTGAAAAAGTACAAAAAGAAAAAGAACACTACAATTAGTAGTGTAGCAATTATATTAAGAGTAATATAATTGCTCCAAATTCTCAGACATTTCAGTGCAGGCAATTAGATGTGCCTGTTATTTCCACATAATATATGTGCCACGTATTTCCATATTCTATCCCTAAGAATTCCACATTCCAAGAAGTTCTACACTAATCCTATATTCACTAATTACAATTAATATTTTTTCCCAATGGTACAGGATCAATCAGGCCAACCGAGAAGTAACCTGCTAAATGTTGGTTGATTTGGCAAGTCAGAAGCAGCTTGTAATATAAACCATCAAATTATGGATCGTCATCAGGTTAACTCCAATAGTGCTTTGGTGACAAACGTTCTAGAGAAACCAAAGATTTTCAACACCATCGACATTCTCCAGCAACAATGTAACACTCAATGAATCTGGTTCCTACTCTCACAAAATGCTTCAGTCACGCTACAGAGCAGTCAGATTCTGGCCATTCTCAAGCTAACAGCTCTTATCCCATATTCAAGCTCTTCGACCCCACCCACATTCAAGCTCCACGCTCTCGCCCCGCATTCGAGCTGTACGCTCTCATCCCACATTTGAGCTCCTTACTCCCTGCCTTTCTTAAAGCTCTCTGCTCCAGGCCTCATCTCGGCTATCATGACACGTCAATAAATTCCAACAACTGACAGCTGTAACCAAGCCTATATTACCTAAACATTAAAAACCACTAAACTCTTTGAGTCTTGTCACCCAAACTAGTATACTGTACATATAAAGATGTTTATGTTATGTTATTTTTTGCCTGTTTTTTATGTTCAATGTTATGTTTTATGTTTATATTTTTTATGTTATTTATGTTATCTTTTGTCTCAGCAACAGAAGAGGTAAAAGGGGCCTGTGGGAGAGGATGGCAGGAGAGCAGGTCCAGAGCACAGGAACAACCCCTGCATGTTAAAAGCCCAGCCTCCACTAGGTGCACTGAGGCTGCAGAAAAATCCACTAAATAGCAAGAAGCCAATAGTCAGTTGGAATGCCAAAATTCATGAGCTTGGGAAACAAACTGTGGATACAATAGTGAAAATTTCAGCCAAAGCAGAATGGGCAGGCAAAATGATAACTGAGAGATAGAAGGAAACCACCACCATCAAACAGAGAGAAGCTGGAACCCCTGACAACAAAATGAACCAGACCACCAAAACTAGGATGGCATATAAAGAGAGCGCCACGGGCGAGAGGGAAGAGAAGTAAAAAGCTCGACTCCCACCTGTGAAGGAATGGCCAGAAATCCTACAAGAGCTAGATATTAGCAGAGAACCATTTTCACAATGAAACAAACTGGCCCAAGACTTAAGTGGCAGTTGTACCACTGCTGGGACACCCCACAAACAATGCAGATTGCACTACACTACACTACACTACACTACTACTACACTAGTTATTTATTTATTTATTTATTCCATGCAGGTTACAATATACTGTAGTGGAAATGTCAGATGGATGTCCCATATCTGGGGAGTGGAGAAGGAGGAGGAAGAGACCAGTCACCAAAGCAAGCATAACATCAGTATCACCAAACAGCTGAAAGAGAAATGGAAAGGAAGCAGGCAGGTGAAATCAGGAACTGCCCCTCCTGCCAAGGCTCTGCAAAGCTGCCCTCTGCTGAGCAAAAAGTCCAGACAGGCTCAGGAAAACACCTACCCAAAAGAGTAGTGGAAACAATCTAGAGTTCAGCAGGGATGATGTAAACCCCCATGGGAAACCACAGAAACCCAGAGCAGTTGGAAAACCAACTGCCCAAAACCAGAAATGATAAAGGAAAGGAGTGTCAAGCACAGAATCATCCAATCCTTCCAAAAAGTTAAGCCCCCTGGAAACAAAACAAAACCATTAAGATGCTTGAACAAAGGCTAGTTCCTAGGCTGCCATCAGAACTCCAGAGAGAACAACCCCAGTCACCGCCACCATGATCACACCTACCATTAAAACCCAGAACGCTGAACCACAGCTAGAGTAAGCAGAGCAGAAGAGAAACCTAGCACAGAGCTCACAAAAACAAAAGCAAGGACCCCATTGTCAGCCTGGGACCTCAATGCCTGGAGAACAAGACAATGAGATGCTAAGGAGGCCACAGCTTGCTGGTTCATCTGTCGAGTAAAAGGGCATCTGTCGAGTTGGTGGTAAAGTCATACAAATGATTTAATCATCAGAAGATTTGAAACTGTCAATGTCCAGATGACCAGGGGCCTTTACCTAACAGCAGCAAATTTTGCTGTTCACTTGCCTTTACTTACCTTTTCCAAATTGATCGCAAAACCAATATAAAAAACCCAGTGTTGAATGTAATGAAATGCCATTTTCTGGGCAAGACCTGGAGGCTCCACAAAGCTATACTGGGCTGATATGTATATATTAGTCCATGGCAAAAGACAGTCGATATAGTTCTAAGACTACCGGGGATCACGAGCCAGAACCTGGCTCCCCTCAGAGAGGCACAAGGAGCTATGGCCTATAAACACCACCATGTATTTGGAAGTAGTCTATATCTGCCATCTACCAGGTCAGGCACTCAGAAAGGTAGGAATACCAATACAAACTACAGCTGGTTAAAAATTGCAAACCAAAAGCTGAACGAGCAAGCAGAACTTGGCAATCAGAAAACAAGCATGACATCACCGCAGCCACCACGCTGCTGTCTGCGCAGCTTCCCCCTCCCCAGGAGAGGGAAGGGGGGGGGGCCAGACCTCCCGCACCAGCTACCCAACCAGTAAATCACCGTTGTTTCCCAAGCAGTCTTTAAACAATAGTAAGTAATAGGAAGGCTCTAAATTAAATTTCCAAATGTTCAAGGCTTCACAGTCTTACTTACAACTGCACATTGAGTCCCACAATTCACATCAGCATTAACACAAACCAAGGTTGTGATTCATTCTCTGCTAACTTTAAAACTTGGCAAATCTTCTTGTTGCCTACAAGCTAAGGTCTTCTTTGGTAAATATTTCCAGCTAAAGCTTGTCTCATCACCATTATATACAGTACTTGGAATTTTTACATTTTCTTGTTCAACAATAATCATTAACTTTCTCTAAAATAGTTCTTCACTCTTTATACAGTATTTGCATTTAAGGTTTCACCAGAGATCTTTCTATAATATATAGAATGCCTTAACTTAAATCTTCGAAATCAGCCCATGCTACAGTTTAACTCAAGAATATTCATTGAAGAAGCAAACTTTCAAGCTGCAAGTTCCCAACATACTCCTGTTGCTGTTATTACACTACAGTATATACACACATTGTATATACCCATGTACGTATGTGTTCACCATAGTGAACCACTAAGCTAGTATGGTGACAAAAACAAAGAGTGGCTGCCACACACAGTAAAGCTACCTCGATTCCCTCCCTCATCAAAATTCCCCCTCCCACAATACTATGCACAGTGCTAATTATCACCACAATCCTCCTATTATCACAATCTTGGTAACTAAATCCTGTAAATGAATAATTGACCACAAGTTTATTTTGTAAAGGAACATAAGTCCTTCGAAGATTCCTAGATGGACGAAATAATTCTGTGGAGCTGTGAACATCGTGAAAAGCATTGATTCACTGATATCTGAACACTGTACACAGTCATTATCACACTCAGGCTCTTCTGTAATACTATCATGGCTAAATAATACCAGTTACATATATATTTTGATATTATTAGGCGATGCTGTGGTCACAAGCTGAACAGCAGCACTGAGCTCATGCTGCTTGCATCAGCCTTGGTTGCTCACTCAGTACCAAGGCTCTCACACCCGGGTATGTTGCCCACGATTTTTTTTTTTAAATGGCATCTGTTTACAAGAGCCCTGAGGAAGCTGACGTGAACCCCATGTAGCCGCAGGAGATTTGAATCAAATGCTATACCTATAAGATCCCCAAGGCGCGTTGCGCACCACCCCCCCGTCGAGCACCTGCAAGCGCGTTACGCAGTTCAGTGGTTAATAAAAATGACAGCACCAGGACCAATTCCCTCTTGGCAGCAATTTAAATAAGGCTTCCTTTTGCTGTGTTTTTTTATGTCAGAAATAGTGTTGGAGTTAATAGTAAACTCTTATACGATGCTTACGCAGTACTTACAAAGATGGCACCACACTCAAGTTTTTCAGTCACTAAGCTTTTGGTCAACAGTAAGCATCACTTCCCAGTGCTAGTATTACTGCTATACATGCTTCCAACTCTAAATATATGAAATTACCACAAGTAAGAATATCTTTGAGATTATGAATGATCTTACTGCCACATATGGTAAATGTATTTGGGGTACCAGAACAAGAGGAGAAGCATTAATCCCAATCCACGTGCTCTTTACCAGTATGCCTCGACTTTATAATATTGGGCACTGTACTGTATTCAAAAAATTACAGCAATGACATATGAAAGGGTGAAAGAGTTTTGTTAGCTTATTTTTGTACAATTTTCATTCACATGCATCTTCCACAAACCAAGTAAGCAGCTGGTGAATAAAACACGACTGTACAGTATTCCTATTCAGAAAACTAATTTCACAGTCATACAGATTATTCAGTGGAATGATGATTTGATAAATATTACTGGTCTCCTTTCCTGATGATTGAGTCTGTTTACTATGGGTTATGGCTGGACTATAGCTGCCCCCTATCCCTCGTGGGGCATTTAAAATCATGCGCTAGACCCTCAATCGTATATGTACGATGTGCGCCATTCTGTGACAGTTACTCCCATCATATATGTTTGTATTGTGCCATTTAAGGGTTAACTATCGAAAGCTTGAAAATGTCACATGGCAAAGATCATAGGAAAGACAGGACACAACAAGCATAGCTCTCATCTTGTAACTACCTTTAGATAATTACACATACACACACCACTAAATATGGTTTCTAGTAAGCATAACTTAGACAACACACAGTTTGTCTTTGACATTTAACCTATAATTACTTGGAAATTAGCAATTTTTTCTCTTACTGCTTGATGGGGTTCTGGGAGTTCTTCTACTCCCCAAGCCCGGCTTGAGGCCAGGCTTGGCTTGTGAGAGCTTGGTCCAACAGGTTGTTGCTTGGAGCGGCCCGCAGGCCCACATATTCACCACAGCCCGGTTGGTTTGGCACTTCTTGAAGAAAACTATCTAGCTAGTTAGAAAACTAACTATCTACCTCTTGAAGATGTCCACGGTTGTTCCAGTAATATTTCTAATACAGTACTCGCTGCAAGGATGTTGAACAACCGTGACCCTCTGATGTTTATACATTGTTCTCCGATTGTGCCTATGGCACCCCTGCTCTTCACTGGTAAAATTCTGCATTTTCTTCCATATCGTTCACTCCAGTAAGTTGTTATTTTACTGTGTAGATTTGGGACCCGGCCCCTGTACTATTTTCTACGTGTATATTATTTGATGTATCTCTTTCGTCTCCTTTCTAGTGAGTGAATTTGGAGAGTTTTGAGATGATCCCAATAATTTAGGTGCTTTATCGTGTCTATGTATGTCGTATATGTTTTCTAAACTCCCTCTATTTCAGCAATCTCTCCTGCTCTGAAGGGGGGAAGTGAGTACTGAGCAGTACTCAAGACAGGACAGCACAAGTGATTTGAATAGTACAACCACTGCAATGAATTTCCTGGATTTACTAAATGCAAGCATGTCCTTAGTACCAATTTCAAATCAGTGCATTGGTCCTAATGTTTTTGCTTTTTATCTTAAAACCTTCCATGATAAAAATAATAAAATCTTTTTGATGTTAATATTACCTACTTTGCTAATTATAATACTAAATAGGTTTACCATGACAATATTAAATAATCATACGTAGGTAAAAACATACCTTGAATACCAAAGAAAAACCAAGTTCGGTTGTTATTTTCATACTCGGTGCCTGCACAATCTGGGTGAGTCCAAAGACTGAATTCATAATTGACGGGCATAGGATCAACAACAGGCTGGGAGGGTGTGGATGACTTGTGTGCTTTACGGCCCCCACTCAGAGATGCTCCTTGACTTGACGAGGCATGGCTAGAACCTAAAAGTCAAAGAGAAAACCTTCAGGTTAAATCCATAACCGATATCTGGTACAACCAGCAGTTGCAAAGCATTGCACAGTACTGAACTGTAAAATGAAGTATTCCTTATAGCCTTATTGTAGATGGAAATTTCAAAAGAATCATGATTACAGCTATAATACAGTATATATATTGGATATATTATATTATTTTGACCAGTAAACAACAGATGAAGCCTAAGAGTCAGTATATTGTTACAGTACTTCAATGGCAAATTTATCTTAAACCAGTAATGATCAAGAAAAATAGTGTTGGTGTGATGAAATGTCACTTTTATATGCAGCATCCCAGTAGCTCCTTGATGATTATGGCACTGTTACTTTAGGGCTGCCCCTTAACATCAGGCTTCTGAGACTTTCTTGGCCTACTGGAAGCTGGACCAATATGTGGCCCCTCTCAACGAGGCAGTGAAATCAAAGGAGGAATCTCCAAGAAAGACATTAAAGACAAGGAAGAGCTCCCATGAACCTAACAATTTGGTATGATAAAAGAGTTACCACTTCTCCAGATTAAGCAAGTACAGTAACATCATACTGCACCGAGAAAGCAGCAGTGGACTCAAACTTTACAGAACCTGGATCTAGTTCAGACATGAGGTCAGTCTCGAAGCAGGAACAAAACAAATCTTACGAGGCCGGTACAGAGGACAGGTGAGACTGCAGAATTCTATGAAGCAGGTGAAAGGTAAACCTTTATCTGGGATCCAGAATCCCACCCACACACAGGCTGAGAAGTTATTAAGCTAAAACTCGGTGGATAGAGAGAAAAAACATACCCCCACCTGAAGAAAAATGATCACTGATCTGGAGATTAGATCTTAAGTTGGGTCAAAGTTCCCCCTCACACTGTCCTGAAGCTGAAAAACTCCTCCCCTAACACATAAGAGGAAGGGCTATGGTCATAACCTAACTTCAAACCAAATTTGAACAAAGTTAGTGGGTAGAAGTGATAACCACAAAGGCACCCAAATTTCCCAATGGATGCACAAATCATTGTCTCATGAACAACAGTGGGATAATCAGGGCATGAGTGAGCATAGTTACTACAGTCAACTCTGTTCAGGAGTCAGCTCTTACCCACTGCTGCCAACCCATCCAGTGTCTTAATTAACAAAGGGGGCTGGAAAGCTGAATGAGAAGCAGAGACATGGGGTGAGCAGCATGGTACTGAGGCCCTGAACCACTGTTCCCAACTGGACAGATTATAAACAACATAATCTACAACCCTGCAATAAAGCCAAAGCAAGGGTTATGCATGAAACATCCACTACTATCACTACCCTCATCAGACGCAGAATTAACACCATGGTTACCATGGTAAGCATGGACACTGTGCTGTAATAACTGTTATGAAGTATACACAGTATATATAACATGTTTAACCACTGCACAGCACAAAGCACCAAAAATCACACAACCCCTTAAGGCACTCTGAGGGTTGTGTGATTTTTTTTTAATTACGCCATATTTTAAGGTTTTTAATGTTTTCATCGCTCTTTGTGATTTTAAATGAAAATGATCAAGTTTGGAAACATTTTGACATTAACATTACCTGAACATTTATAAAAAATAACAAAAATATGTCCTTAACAACTGCACCATGAAATTTTTGCCAGAAACAGGTGTGCAGTGCAGGGTTTAAATTTATATGAAATGATTTATGTACACGTTTATACCTGCCACATCAATAACACCAACAACAATTGCGTCACAAAGAAATCAGGAGCAATACCTCACAAACCTCACGAAGAAAACATTTGGAGAGAGTGCATCGAGTTAACAGCCATCAAACACTACAACCCCATCAGACAGAATGAAGGAAAATTCAACATTACTTCCACTCTTGCTAAATTAATATGTAATGTAGATGATTTGACTATACACAGAGGAAGTCTATACCCAGTAAGATACCCCTGACAGAGGTACAGATTTGATGAAGTCCTTACTAGCAAATGTCACCTACAACTAAACTTAATCTTGACTTGATGATATTCTTCAACATTTAAATTACCATATACTGTACTGTATTATTAATTCAAGCACATGGTACATGGAGTATCATGTATCTTTATGATACTTATAATAACAAGGAGGAGGAGCCTCTTCAGCTCCGTGGAGCCGAAGAGGCTCGCCCCAGAAAATTATTCAAATATTTACTCAAAATATGTTTGACTGCTCTGAATTTTTAAAGTGTTAACACCAAACAAATTCAAGTTAATTAAATTCCTTTATCCTTTGGTTAATTTAGAGTTCAACATAGAATGGCAAATTATACTAAAAAAAAAAGTCATAAACCAAATTGATTTAGACAAAGTTATGTATTATGGTAAAGTTTCTTTCTTGCTTACCTCATGACCTTGCCCTCTAACATTAACTACAATTTTCTAGACTAGTGTACTACTATTATAGCTACAGTATATCATACAATTCAGGCAAATTAAAACTGTAAACAGTTCACTACATATGAATAATGCCTAGTTTAAAGAACACTAAGGTCCAGTTCCTGATCTCATTACGTGACACTGTAACCTTCCGGCCACTACCCACAGAATGAATATAGGGTCTTTAGTAAACTAGAATTAAACTAAAATTACTATCAACAGCAATTATGGACTATTAGTGTACTAATCTTGGGTATTTAACAATACAAATACTGTACTCACCTGGTGGATCAACTTTTTCAACTCTAGCCAAGTTACCGCACTCAAAATTTGAAGTGAACGTGAAGAGTCCGATAGTCTCTTCCATTTCTGCTTCCAGTAGAACAAACCCTTTAATAAAGGGTTGAATATACTCTTGGAGGGGCCAGCAATTCTCACTGAGTGCTCAGTAACAGTGCTGGCCAAATCTTTTCCTCACCTCACATGATGCTGTTAAGTTAAAAACTTTGAAGTTAATAAATTCATTATTTTACATTACTAAATTCTAAGTTACTAAATTTAAGTTACTCTAATTTACTAAAGTTACTAAGTTACTAAATTCTAAGTTACTAAAACTATGTTATTAATTCATTATTTACATTTTTAGAAATAGGAACCCTAACAAATTTAAAATACCTGTAGTCTAAGTTTAATCAACTGAAGCTTTCTCATTCATCATGGATATGATTTGTTACAACACTGATTTAATTACCATAATCCTGAATTTGAGTTACATTATTCATATCACTGTGATATTTATATACAACGCATCCTCACAAATAGAACCAAATGGACCAAACCCTCCAACCGGATTTCCCTAAAAAAATTAGATTTCTAAAAAAAAAAAAAAAAATAGATTCTGGAGGGAAATACAGTGAATTCAGGATCATCATTTAAAATAATTTCCCTCCTCATTTTTTTATTTGTAAATATTATTCAAAATTATGCAATTTTATAAATGTTTTACTAAGCTTGCAAGGTATTATAAATTGTAGAAATTAGATTATTTGACACTTTTTCTGAGGCATCTAGAGCTACTGTGACGACAGCAGCACATGTGCTGTGTTTTTCCTCTCATGTGAGTGCGGTCTGACCTCTCGATATTTTAGCATTTTCACTGGCTTTTCTTTTGATATACAGAATCATTATTTGCGAGTTGAATCCATGTTGTGTGGCAACAGTGTGGATACATCAGACAAGGGCAAGAGAACATGCTTCCCGCCAAACACACACCGAAACTACGACATTGGTACAACGTTCGAACAAGTTTTAACACTTCCTAACCAGTTATAACAACCAATATAGCAAGTTGTAACAACATTCTAATACTGTACATCATAAACACGCTAAGCCAAGATGTAACAATTTTATTACAAGATGTAACAAGCGGAAAATAGAGACAGTTTTGGTTTGTGTTTCCAGGGTTACCATAGATAATAATGCCTAGTTAATCCCTTACCATAGAAAATAATGCCTAGTTAATCCCTTACCATAGATAATAATGCCTAGTTAATCCCTTACCATAGATAATAATGTCTAGTTATTAAAAAAAATTATCATGGCTAGCAAAAGAGTGTGGCATTGGTATTAGAGTACTGTACTGCTTTTCTAACAGAGAAAATGCAAAGGAAGCAGGTCATATAGATGTGAATAAAGAGGACAGGTGACAAAAAAACATTGAAACCTTCTAAGTATGATTATGTAGATGCTGCTTATCAACAATTTGCACAGCACTGTAGCCTGGGTCTGGATATTGGTAGTGGACAGGTACAGTCTGTTGCTGAAAGACTGACATTAACCTTGAGGACTTCAAGGTCAATTGAGGGAAGCTGCATAAGTTTTAACAGACAGTGATATAATAAAATGCAGTTATAGCATATTTTTCATATTTTTTAACATTATTATTTTATTTATAGGCACACAAAATTATTATTTATATGTGACCACAATATTCTAAGATGGAATACAATTACAAAAATCCACATAAAGGTCCAGGAAGAAGACTGTCTAGGCTACCTTCGAGAAGACTATCAAAGATTGAGAAAGGAACTGCAAAATACCTCCTGGAGGGAGTTAATAGATAAGACATAGAAATGCACTGAAAATTTTTTGACATTTTCTCATTTTATGAAAATATGTCAAAAAATGTCATCATTTAACTTATTCAAAAATATGTACTAAAAAGGAGCACAAAATGTCAAAGAACTAGACTGATAACAGGGGCAGTAAAAAGGAGCTACAGTATAACAACAAAGCAAAACCTCTGGAAGGAAGGAAGGAATTATCAAGGGAAAGCGCCAAGCCATTACGACTATATAGCACTGGGAAGGGGTCAGGATAAGGATTTGGGATGGGACGGGAGGGAAGGAATGGTGCCCCAATCACTTGGACGGTCGGGGATTGAACGCCGACCTGCATGAAGCGAGACCGTCGCTCTACCATCCAAGAAGTATCAAGGAAGAAGTATCAATCTTGGCAGGACAGAAACAGGAGATGCTTTCTCACTCATAAGGTTATAAACTCTTGCAACTAAAGAAAAATTAGAAATACCCTGTAGTCAGACCTTTGACTACAAGGAAAAAAAATAAAGTGGTAATCCAGCTGTGGTGTGCCACCCTTTCCCCCCCCCCTGCTCATCTTGACTACCTGCATTCAAGCATGGAGACCTCTCCTTTAAAAGGTGATAACTGCTTTTGAAAAAGTTCAGTACAAAGCAACAAAAATCATCCCAGAACTATGTTGACACTCATACCATTTGATCAATGGTGCTGTATGTTGTCTGGGTATAGTGTTAGCTATGGTGCTAATAGCAGATGGTTTTCTGGTTAATGAGTCTGCAGTGATTAGCAGTAACTGAGCTAAGAAATCATATGGGTATATGATAAGCAAATTAACTTATATGCAACTAGCTCACCAGAAGTGTAAATTTGTTTAGTTTAAGAGATTGCTGTGGTCCAATTCTTGAACCCATTATAAGACACTGAAACTTTTTTGCCACTTGGCCCCCATTCACAAGATGTGAATGGGGGCCAAGTCTACATATACATTTTATTTCTATATATACATTTTATTATGTATGAGCTCATTTTTTTTTAATTTGAGTTAAAACTAATGTAGATATACAGTATGACCAAACCTAACCTACCCTATCTTAACCTAATCTAACATAAAAGTCAATAATATATGTTCCTATTATAATATAATAATACTAATTGAAATAAACCAAATGGAAAAGTTTTTTGGAAAATATAGAAAATGACTCGGCCTATTAGGCAACTCGGGCCTTGCATAGTAAGCCAAGAAGTGCATTCTGGCTACTAGGTACAACATATATACTGTATATATATATATATATATATATATATATATATATATATATATATATATATATATATATATATATATATATATATATATATATATATATATATATATATATATATATATATATATATATATATATAATATATAATATATTATATATATATATATATATATATATATATATATATATATATATATATATATATATATTATATATATTATATTATATATATTATATGATATTATATGTATATATATATATATATATATATATATATATATATATATATATATATATATATATATATATATATATATATATATATATATATATATATATATATATATATATACTCTCTCTAGCTGGAAGAAGGGGGACCCATAGCCTCGGAAGAAACCACGCATAACGCATTAGAGGGAATGTTTAGATCCCCTCCAATACAGTTTCTGTGTGCTTTTCTCCTACCACCCCCTTCCTTGAATATTTTTTGTGCTTTATTATGCATTTGATGGTTACAAGATATACATGGGTTGATACAAAAATAATAATGCAAAAAGGTGCTTAAAGGTTATGGATCTCTTGAAGAACACAACAATGGGAAACATTGATGAATGTCACAGACGGGTTCGATCATTGTTGCAAGTCAAACACTTCTTCGAATTCCTCTGAAGTTGGACTAGTGCCCAAGACGCAACAGGCATTTCCCCTCTGAATCGCAACACTGAGGCGCTGGAACAAGAAACTTTTTGCTCTCTGGTCTTTTGTAGCGCTGATCAATTTGTCCCCCAACTCCTTCAGGAACTTCAATGCACATTTTCCCCACGAACCGAGGGTCTCCGAGCCGATCGGAACAAAGCTGTAGCAGTGTGCTAGACCTCTGTATTTAATAATTTTCTGCGATTCCCTGAAAGAAGCAGCACCACCGCTTTCACGTGTGCTGTAGTGGAGGTAGGTACTGGCCAGTGTGGCAGCGCACGTGTAGTCCCATACCACTTGCTTACCATCCTTCCAAGGTAGCAAGGTGACCCCATCAGGGCGCTTCTGAGGGTCGTTAGGTCTGGATAAGTGTGGTTCTCTTTGTGCCGGGCAGCGGGCTGTGGCGAGGCTCCTCTTGATGATGTCGTTGACTTCTTCATGTCTTGCAATTTTACCCTGTGATTTACGACATACCAGACCATGACGACCATATTGGTCTGCCATCGCAGTTCCGCAGATGCACCTATGTTCGGTGAGGATGGGGGCGGCAAGGCGAAGGGCAACTCCAATGCGGAGAGCGTCATGACTGAGGCGAGT